ATCTAAGCCTTGGGGCATTTGTAATTCGCATTGCACGACATGGTCGATATTTATTGCAGGTATTATTGCATGCATGGTGGTATTGGTGTCACATTATGTCCTTGCATGCCTGGGTCTTTTGTGTACCATGCGGGGAGGGGCATAGTCGGCTACTATTGCCCTGGGAAGAAGGGAATGAAATGAAGCCGTTTCTACTGAGCCAAGGAAATTAATATTCTTAATTAGAAGTTGTAATACGTAGTGGTAACAGGGATTTGCGTATGGATATAGTCCAGGATAATTATCGGAGACTGCGGGGTCAGTTCCAACCTGACCGTGGCCTAGATCTGGAGACTACCATCATAGTATCCTCCAATCCTATGGAGCCCACGGGGCATAGGGCCTCTCCAGAGAGTTTTGTTAGGCTAAGTTGAACCTTACTTGGTCTTGTCATCAGTCAATGTTACATTGTCACAAGTCAAATTCTCCCTATTATCTTAGACATAGACTTAGCGTGCCCAGCCTTCATAGATGCCAATAGTGCGAATGATGAAAGTAGTCTACAATGCCGTAGCTAAGCAGGCATCATTGACTGAGCTATGCTAATGTACATCTTGCGAATTCATGTAATTTGGCATCTCTCATATTGAATAGAACCCTCACATACCGTCAATTCTGCTCGACTTCATAGCCCTGGCCTGTACCACAACACTGATACTTTACTCACTTCTCCATAGCAATGCACACGTGCATTTTGCCGCTCAAAAGCCCCTTATTTCCTACATAAATCACATACATAGGTGCACAGCATATTGTGGGTCAGACTGGCACATCTATCCCTTACGACCCGGAACAAAGTTGCGGACATTATCTCGCACCAGCGGACCATTATGCGAGAAAATGGTGCAACATGTTGAATCAGAGCGGGAAGGGATCATCTACTTGGTATGATCTACTGAAACACGTCCAGCTCGCTGAAACTGCTGCGTAATGAGACCCGATGCAGAAAACCGCGCGGTTTTATGCCAGAGGCTTCGGGATTGTAATAGTATTGTACTTAGTATCAAGGGTATCAATTCTCGAGAGAATGTGAGTTAATTGATCGAGAAAGGATAAGAGGTTTTGCCAAGTGAATATGATATCAAAGAAATGAGGGGTCGGGGTTGAGGTTGGCATAGTGAGAATGAGGGCTCTGCTGAGACATAAAGCTGTGTTGTGGGTGAGGTGCTTTCTTTCTTACTCTATAGTATGAAACAATTGTCTATGCTCACTAAAATAACTCTTGAATTATTCCGTTTATGTGTACTAGGAAGCACGGTGGAGGATTAAGTAAATAAGCAGGTCATTGCAGAAATTCATACTGTTCATGGTCATGACGGGACTACCTGCCGCGGAATATCGATCCATTGTTTGATCTGACATCCTGCTGTAACCTTGTACTATTAATATGGGAAATTCTTCTACTCAGTTAGTCAGATCGATAATCACAGATTTTAGTAAGTAACTACGGTGTCCGCGGATATCCAGATGGCTTAGATCTGTGACAGCATCGGCCACTCCGAGGGTATAAATTCACCACCATGGTATTGTCCTCTTGAGGGATTCAAAGTTGATGCAGATCATTTCAGTAAAATCAGTATCTAGAAAGAAATTACTCATGCTACAGATCTTGAGAATACTTTCCCGGATATTGAATGGTCTAGCCTATGTGTCCAGAACTACGATGGTGCATATGCCTTTGCAATCCCTACCACCATCTCCAGCTACAAACTCTCCAGTCCAAGAAAATGAAAGAACTTATGCGCAAAAAAACAAGAACATCGTAGCTAGACAGCGTAATACACAAGTCATCCCATAAATCGACACCGAAATCTACAAAGCGTAAACAATCCCACAAACCGCAACCAAAGTAAAGTGCTGACCGAACATCCCTAAAGAACATACGATAACTAACCAGATAAACCGCTCATGATCGACACCTGACAGCAACCACCTAACCCATTCAAGTCATCTCTGCGAATATAGTACTTACTCCGCGAAATCTCCTCCCTCAGTCCAGCACAGCACCGCTCACCTAAACGGAAAGCGGGCCCGAATATGGGCACTAAGTACTAACCACCCAACCCCAACATCTATCAAAGTAAACTTCGAGTCTAACAACTTAGTCCGACAACTCGAGTCTCGAAAAACCAGAATCCTCCTTTAGTAATGACGTACGTACTTTCGCCCTATCTAAGTATGTTACATGTTTTCTTTCTCTCTCCCGTGTCCCTTTTTTTTACGACAGCCCGCACAGTGGGAATGGGTTTATATCCAGTCCCGCTGACAAAGACAGGGATCATGGCAATGAAGGTATTTTGATTGGTGTTGAGAGATCTAGAATCAATATTAGGGTTTGATGAATCCGCCAATCAATGCTTGGAATTGGCACTTTCAGACATGTCCATATGTACTAGGCAGTAGGTAGGTCGGGTCCCTACGGGGTACTCCGAAATGCACGGCAAGGTTATAGTAGTAGTCTACCTACCTAATCTTGTGCTCGAACCATGGTAGGCCAGCGACAATCCCGATCCTGGGTTATCGAACGCCGGAGGAATCGACTTATCTACGGAAGATCGTCGGGGAATCTACTTGCTTAGTTTTTTTAGTGACAAGTTATAGTTATAGTTACAGTATGGGGGAAAATCTGGAGGGGAAGGCAAAGTACCTTGCGGCAAAAAGATGGACTGTGCGGGAGTGTCAATGCTGCATTGGATACTATCAATGTCGGGAGCCGAAGTCGGGGTAAGACGAGTCAGTGAGTAGCAGTGAGTGTCGGGACTCGGGGGCATTCCGGGAAATGCGAAGCAGGAGCAGCAGCAGCAGGAGCTGAAAAATGAAGCGTCCGTGCAGGGAGTGGCTACTGTATGCAGGTTTAATTGATTGAAGGGATGCAGGTCATTGGACGTATGCAGAAATTGAGGACAAGAGAAAAAAAGAAAAGTAGGAAAATTGCCTTGTAAGTGGCGCTGCTGGGCGGAGGGGGGAGTTTTACGTATCATAAACTTAGGGCACATCGGTCATGACAAGTCGCATCAATTCCAAGGAATGAATGCACTGCTCTACAGTAGATTCCACTGTGTCCATCTGTGCGTCTAGTTAATTTCGTGTTGCCTGACACTTAGGACGGAGGTGATCAGACCACACCTAAAAGCAAATCCCGCAGGTGCCTGCATCGATGGGAGTGAATCGGTACTTTGTGTGTGCTTGAAACATCGAGTGTCATTCGGCCAACCTGGCCATAAGGGGAAGGAGGCTTGGATGGCATGGCGAACCTAGTCTAGTCAGTGGTTGCTAAGTTCTGCCCCAAAGTTGGATGTTGGAGGGGTGGTTTCACGATTGTTTCAGGGGATATATTGGATAACAAGAATACTATTACTGCCCGCCCCCGGCATTTCTGTATTCTTCATACAGTGAACTAGTAGCCTAGCTCCTATTGCCAATTACTTAGGGGCCGACAGGAACCAGAACGAGAAGAAGCTAATAGACACCGTCAAGTCTTGGTGCGAGTGGTATTTTACCTCAGATATCGCAATGGGTCGGGATTACTCTTTCCAGCATGGTTGCGCCCGTAGTCATGACCCGAACTACGCCGGATAGAGTAGCGGATAATACTCCGTATTAACTATCAATTTGCAGAAAACGTCAGTCTAGATTAACCCAATACAACATGTACCAAAGCAGTTCTTTGTCCGACTGGTCCATTAACCAAGATTTGACCCTGGCCGTTGAAGTCATAAGGCGGAATATTTGACCTGTCCAGCGCCATGATGGGGTAGGATCAGGATAATAATCTAGGGGCTTTGGGCACTGGCAGGTGAGGGCGTCTCTCATCACCGACCCAAGACCCGTGCATGATTATGGGGCCAATGCACTCTTCTACATATCATTGCGATAGTTCCTGAAAACTAGTGAGTAATGTTGGGGTCTTGTTGGGTAGTTGTGTGATCTTGCATCATTATATTTATTGCTGAGGTAACACAGATGCGGGTAGTCATATTCAACTGCTAATTGTGGTCGAATCGTCCTCCGATCTGTAGGTACCATGTAAGTGAATATTATTCCACTGTGCGCATGCGAACTGTGCCGTCATCTGAATCTGACAGCGCCCAAGATTGATTGTTGTGGAACGTGATCGCGATTTGGTTGGCTCAGCTTTGCTTGCCTTCTTGCCACGGTTCGCGGTTCCACGGTTGAGAAGAATAATGGAAAAGGCGAAGAAAATGGGCGATGTATCTAAGTGTCGAGGGACCGACCATGGTATGGAATTGATTAAACAGCCAATCGGATGAAAGACTGGCAGTTAACTCAGTTTTGAGGCAAAGAGCTTTAGAAATGATGATGGTGCATGATGCGCTTAGTATGGCGTACTAAGCCAACATACCGAGGTTGCCTCCGTGGTGGAAGCCCGTCTCTAGGTATCTAGTGTGTCATTTTGACTATTTGGTCGGTAGCGACTAGTAGGATAATATTGCCACATCGACAAACGTATCGACTTTGGCCTCGGAGGCAACTTCGGAAATGGCAGCCGTGTTCAGAAGAGAAAGATACCCGTCAAGAAGCCAGATCGCCCACGTCTAAACCCCCAGTTGGTGACTGAGGTTGGGTAATCCCCAGAAAAGCCTTATGCTCCTTAGCCTGGACCAGAGAATCCTCTATTACGGCGCGAACCCTAGGCTGATCATCCGTCGTCATAAAATAGAGTTGCAGAGGGTAAGAGTCAGCGTGTTGCTTTTTCCGTTGTGATTACCTTGGATCTTGCTGACTGGGGGCTGAATCCTCGGGTCCGGTTCAATAGTCTCATCGATTTCAATTGTAAACTACAGGGGAGGCCTCACTAGGGACGGGGGTACAACAGTTAGCATAATGCTCTAAAAAGCATTCCATAACTGTGCAAGGCAGTGGCAACACAGTCTGCACTAGCGGGCAACCTCTTTCTCTACCTAGTACGGATTAGGTATATTGCGACTGCCCGGTGTTGTGTAATATAGAGTTTTGGCAACATGGTATTGTCCAATTTGATGATACGGGAAGGGACGAGACGATGTAACTCTGGGTGTTTGGTTACCATACTCCGTACCGAACCTGCGAGTTCCGATCGGGGGCAAGTGGGGAGAACCGCCACCAGCACCACGGTTTCTCCACAGCACATATTTTTGGACTTCAGCGCGCACCTTCCCTCAGGCAGCCAGCACGATGGTCGGTCTTATTGATGATCATCATTCAGAAGAATCCCCGCTTGGTGGCCCCTGGCGCATAAGTGGATGGAAAAATATGAGAGGACGTGCTGCTTCATTGTCCGTGTGGTGCGCTCTCCGTTACCTCCGTTTCTCCGGAGCAAAAATGGACCAGGTTTGTAATAAGCCCAAGGCGACTCAATGCTCTCAATAGCGATTGTGACCAAGTGGACTAACCCTCAAGCGAGTATAGTGCCGTCCCAGGGAACGCTGGAAGGGGAAGGGAGCGACCCGCCCAGACAAACTAACCTTTCGGGTGGAAATCTTCCACGGTGGGGATCCCGTTGATATGCAGCTGTACCGCTTGCCGCTTACGTATCCGGTTGCGACTCACTTCTCTACTGGATAAAGGGGAATAACAACACCGACCTAGAAGCTCAGGAGAAACATGCCAACCGGACTTTCCGCTTGCTCTTAGCCTACAGCGCTTGGATGGGACTCGATTTGCTTCCTCGTCATGACAGCAAACGTTCGAGGATCGACGGTCCAGTACCGAGATTAAGGCCAATCGTTGCTGAATTGTGCAAAAGCACCAGCCTATCGGGATACCACTACCGGGTCCAACGAGGATCGCTATATATGAGTGTCAATAGACACCAACCCGATGTGTATTTTTCGCTGCTGATGGTCACTCCATGAGGGGCGTAATCCACTCAGACACCGTTCATTATACATAGCTGACAGGCAGCCTTCAATAATCGACAGTGGACATTGGAGCCTGCAGAATCCAAAGCCTCAGTGTGGCTAGGCTGATAGTGATGGTGATGGGTAATGATGAAAAGAAATCTCCGATAATTGGCAGCAGATTGATGCAAAAGATAGGTCCAAGTTCCGTGTAGGGCATTAGCACTAGAGCATTTGACTGGACGGATCATTTTACCTGGGGATGCAAGGGATGGAAAAATGACGGGTCTCCGGGTGATTCAGACTGGAGTTAATAGTTAAGATATCTGTTGGATAGTTGATGCAACTTTAACCTGGAGAATTCTCAGCTCATATCTGACTACATCGTGCAGCCACGATGACCTCACGCCTTCCTAACCGGGTAATTTCTATACCATATTTGCTCGCATTCTCTGAAACGTTAGTCCGAGGGGGTTAAGTATTTCCAGCACTTCAGGGGTAGTTACTCAGATACCGTAGGTTTACCCGTACCGAGAGTCCGTCCTTTTGAGACTTGAATCCAGTCCCTGGATCGGCCCCACTGCGTGGTTTAGTGAGCTCCAGACATCCATGGCTCGGCGGTCATGGCCCCACTAGAGACCAGTAATCTCCAATTCACAAATACGCCGATGGCTTTTCCTGTCAATACCGTTCCGAAAGAATTACCCCATTTGAAAGGAAAGTACAGGTCATGGAGTATTTAGCACTCGATATAAACCAGGATGAAAATGATTATATCTGGTATGTGTTGTGTATGTTGTGCGAGTAGACTTTCATAATGATGCTTGCTAAGTGGCAGTGGAAATAAACCATGGTTACTCAGTAGGTAACAACGGATACTAAATACTATAAAATAATTAGTACACAAAAAAAAAAAGGTAAAGGTAGTATTACCATTTCTCGTAATACTGATCGCTCCGCCCCAGCGACTATCAACGGCTTCGCTGAACCGGCTCGGACGCCGTCGTAAAATTGTTCGCACCAGTGCGATATCTCCATCTTTTCCTGTTCCGCCTTCTCCTTTCCCTCTCCTCTCCCAGATTCTCGTCATCTTCACACACACCCTTCCCTCCCTTTCGCTCCCTCCTCCTTCCCAGTCTCACGCGTGGCCAACCAACCTTTTTGTTGGATGATTCTCACTGCAGCCACTCATCTTCCTCCACCCTTGGTCAATCTCATCCATCCTCGGGGCGTTTCCCTCAGGTTCAACCCCCACTACGTCTTGACCCCCCCCCACTTGGCACCCCTAAATAGTAAATCTCTCTGCTTGTTTTCTTCAAAAGTTCCCAAAACCTCCTCCTTCCTGATCCTGTTGTCCTCCTGATCCCCGTCAGGAGCTTCTTTTGCCGTGATCCATGTGGAAACATCGGCCCTCTCCCAGATCGGATTACACGTCTGGGAATGACGATTCTTCTGGCCCTCACACATCCGAGCGTGGCAGCAGTGCTCGTCCTAAAAAGAAGTCTCCGCTCCGTAAGTATAGTGTCTCGTACTAGTGTTACTCTTGATTCTTCTTAACTTTCGGCTGCTGAATCTTATATTATTATTATTGTCCTTCTTATTCTGGTTATCATTTACACTTTTTTGCCCTTTTCTTTCTGTTTCTTCTGGTTGCTGTCTGCCCATCCACTCTCCTTTTCCCTCCTTATCTCTCTTTCTTCTACTGTCTCTCCTCTCTTTTGCTGGAGCTGCCCCCCCGTTCGTTTCTTTCTTGAGCTCTCAGGACTTTTTTTTTGTCCCTTGTCCATTACAGTTCATTCATTGCTATACCCTCCTTGGGGTCAGCACGTGAATTAGAACGTTGACTCATTTCTCCAACCTTCTACACTGGTGTTATGTGAGACGACTGCATTGCTTTGTCTTTGCTGTCGTCCGTCCTGGCCTCTGCTATTTACCTGGCCTTCCATCTCACTTCATCACCACTGACCGTGACAAATCCAATATATTGGCAGACTTCTTTTCTAATTCCAAATCTCGTTCGCCACCTCCTCCACCCCGAACCTTCACCTATATACCACTAGAGCGCCCTGGAACTGGCTACTCTGCTCAAACTGCCCGGTCTCGCGCCCCCTCTACCACAGCCAACTCCGTCTATTCCAGCCAACAAGACCCCGGCTGGCCGTCTGATTCCCACAACTCGTCGCGCGTGTCCTTCAACTCCAGGTCAGGCAGGCCAATGGCGGGCTTAATGGATGTTGACCGCACTCGGACGCGGAGAGACAGAACGTTCGTCGGCACTGAGTGCGCTATCTGCGACGAGCCACTGGAACATACCTTGCGCGGTGAACGTGTTCTCCAATTCTCCTGCACTCATGTCTCACATGAAGCCTGCTTCTACGAATATATTCGCGAATTCGAGGGCCAGTACTGCCCAACATGCGATGCGCCGTTAGGGCTTGATACGAGCCGTGGGGGAAATATGCTGGATCTCGGTAGGTCTTCTCTCCCTTGCAGGGATCGGAATAACGGTTGTGTTGATCATTACCGCATACAGAGAAGCTCAGCAATATTGTCCGCTCTGTGACTAGTGACGCTGCGACTCATCGAAGTGGCATGTCTAATCTTCCTCCCTGGGAACCTGTTCCAGCTCAAGCACGGCGGCCCAGTGATGCTGGAAGTCATGCAGGAAGCCGGCCTCATAACCGTGACAGTCGGGATACTTACGTCAGACGCGACAGCCGCGACAATAGCAGCCACCGCGAACGGGTCGAACGTCTGACCATGGGATCCCGCCAACATCACTCGCGGAACGGAAGTGTTGCTGGTTCATCGGAATATAATGAGTCGCATCAGCATGCCGCCAATGGAAGACGCCATGATTACGACGTGCAAGCTATGGAGTCTGACCTCAGCCCCCGTCCCGCTGTCACGAAGAATCCCATCCCGGCGCCAACGGTGACAATCCGCAGCGAGTTCCCGACGCTTAATCGCTCTCGCCAGCAGCAGTCTTTGACGTGTTTGATAACGGTGGAAGTGCCTGAGGGCAGCTGGCAGCCCGATGCAAGCGACCTAACTGCAAATGGCAAAGACCAGCCCCAAGACGAACCTTACGGCGCAATGCGTTTCCCCCCAAACCAGGAGCCGAAACCAGTTCCTTATGAAAGCCAGGAGAACCTGGACGATCTGGCAGAGGACCTGCGGAACAAGGTGGACAATTGGCACGGCCTGGAATTCAACCGGTAAGTGACTCAACTTGGCCGTTACAAAATTGCAACGCTGACGGAAACTCAGATTCGGAAAGCTCCGCTTGCACGGCCACATGAGTGTGGGGAAAGACCGTACATCCTGGCAGGAACTGGAATGTTATCTCTTCGGAGAAATGCTCATCTGCGTCAAGGAGAAGAAGAACACCCAGCGCCGTCCATATGACGATGAACAGTCCAAGCTGAAGCCAACCCGGTGCACCTTGAAGGGGTCCATTCTCATCAAGAAGCACCTGAACAGCATGGAAGCTGCCGCAGACGAGCCTGTCCTTGCACTGAACCTGTCTGTCAGTGAGCTTCCCTGCTTTTACCTTCGTTTCCCGAACCGCAATCAGTTAGAGCTCTGGCGCCGTTCCCTTCTCGACCTTCATCCCATTGAGAGCACGTCTCCAAACAATGATTACGACTATGATAATTCTGGCGCAGAGGAGGAGGAATACCGGAACAACCCAATCAAACGCCAGGCCTCGATCAACTCGTCTTACGGGGCAGCCCGATCAATCAACACGGCTATCACAGACTATACGGGCATGGGCAACGAGAGCCCAGCGCCATCCATCCATATTCCTCTCGACCTTGTGGTCGTGATTCCAGTGTCTTCTTCCATGCAAGGACTGAAGATCACGCTCCTTCGAGATGCACTAAGATTCCTCGTGCAAAGCCTTGGCCCTCGCGACCGTATGGGACTGGTGACGTTTGGGTCTAGCAGTGGAGGCGTCCCAATAGTGGGAATGACCACCAAGTCTTGGGGTGGATGGCCCAAGATCCTTGAGTCCATCAGACCTGTCGGACAGAAGAGTCTTCGTGCAGATGTGGTCGAGGGTGCTAACGTGGCCATGGACTTGCTGATGCAACGAAAGTCGTCGAATCCCATCTCTACCATCCTTCTAATCAGTGATACATCCACCTCCGATCCCGATAGCGTCGATTTTGTTGTGTCCAGGGCTGAAGCCGCCAAGTAAGTTATTCTTGATCCTTGGCCCAATGGACGATTTGCTGACGTTGCTTGCAGGGTTAACATCCACTCATTCGGCCTTGGGCTTACCCACAAACCGGACACTATTATTGAACTCTCTACTCGGACTAAAGGCTCATACGTCTACGTGAAGGACTGGATGATGCTTCGCGAGTGTGTCGCTGGTTGCTTGGGCGCACTACAAACTACCTCCCACCAGAACGTGAAGCTGAAGCTTCGTCTACCCGAGGGGTCTCCTGCCAAGTTCGTGAAAATCAGTGGAGCTCTGCATACCACAAAACGTGCTACTGGCCGTGATGCGGAGGCAGCTCTGGGAGACTTGCGCTTTGGCGACAAGCGTGACGTTCTGGTCCAGCTTGTTATCCCTCCTGACAACTCCACGCAAGACACTACGCCTCAAGATGCCTGGGAGAGCCTGGTGTCAGGACTAGAGGCACTAGGGG